GAGAGAGAGAGAGAGAGAGAGAGAGAGAGAGAGAGAGAGAGAGAGAGAGAGAGAGAGAGAGAGAGAGAGAGAGAGAGAGAGAGAGAGAGAGATCTTGAACTGGACTCCCAGCTGAAAAGCTCAGCATCTTTAACCACTGAGCCATTGCATCCTTATATATTACTTAATCTTCCAGTCTAAAAATGGAATCAGTCACCCTCAGAAACAGAAACTGTAATTCTATAAATTAAATATATGAGCAAATGATTAAATTATTATTTATTACATGCTTTTACCAAGGCACAGATTAGATCAAGGTAAAACATAATATCCCATAAACAAATCAAATGTGTTGTTGCAGATGAGTGGAAATTGAAATAGTAGACCATGTACTCTATACAGGGCTTTGCAATTATATAATACAAACATTTATTATTATATATTTAAGTAGGCCAAAAACACTTTTATATGAGTTATATCACTGTCCATAGGCAACAGAGGGATTTGCAAAATTTTGCTCTTTTGCCCTTACATGTTTGTAAAATCCAAATCTTATATGATGTATTATTAACCCATTATTTTTTATTTAAATACTTTTATAAAGATTGATTTTTCATTATAAAATAATGGTTTATTTGACTGTCTGATTAATTGATTGATTGAATTTGAAATTGAACCAGTAACACTGGTGACTTCATTTTAATGTAACTATTGATTAACTGTCATTTAAGGTTTAACAATCATTTCATCATTCATGTCATCACAAGTTTTTTTTTAGTACCTGGATTGAGAGCTATCTGGAGCTCTAAACTTTTAAGTATGACTGGAAAGATAAAAGGATATTCCAGGAGGAGACAGTGACCAAACACTTCTAATGGCTGCCCAGAAAACTACTTGGCTTAAGGAGTTAAGATCAACTGAGGGAATCTTTCTTTTCAAGATCTGGAAAAAGGAGAAAATGCTTTTGAGTTTCACGATGGAATTTAATACATTTAATACATAATCCATGATACAGATCTGTGCAAATTATATGTATTAGAATAGAATAGAATAGAATAGAATAGAATAGAATAGAATAGAATAGAGCTGGAAGGGACCTTGGAGGTCTTCTAGTCCAGCCCTCTGCTCAAGCAAGAGGACCTATACTATCTCAGACAAGTGACTGTCTAGCCTCTTCTTAAAAATCTCCTCCTCACTGTCAGGAAGTTTCTCCTTAATTCCAGATTGCTTCTCTCTTTGATCAGTTTCCAACCATTGTTTCTTGTCCTTCCCTCTGGTGCTTTGGTGAATAATGTGACCCCCTCTTCTTTGTGGCAGTCCCTCAAATACTGGAATACTGCTATCATGTCTCCCTTATTTCTTCTTTTCTTTAGACTAGCAAACCCAAGTCCTGCAGCTGTTCTTTGTATGTTTTAGTCTCCAGTCCTTTAATCATCTTAGTTGCTCTCCTCTTAATTTTTTCCAAACTCTCAACATCTTTTTTGTGATATGGCGACCAAAACTGGCTGCAGTATTCCAGGTGTGGTCTTATTAGGGTTTTATAAAGTGGTACTAATACTTCGCATGATCTTGATTCTATGCCTCTGTTTATACAACCCAGGATTGTATTAGCTTTTCTGGTGGCTGCTGCACATAGTCAAGTGATCGTCCACTAGGACTCCAAGGTCCTTCTTACAGATACTGTTTTTAAGCCAGGTCTCGCCCAGTCTGTACTTGTACCTTTGAGTTTTCCTGCCTAAATGTAAAACTTTGCTTTTCTCCACATTGAAACTCATTTTGTTGGATAGGGCCCATTGTTCAAGTTTGTCAAGACCTTTTTGGATCCTGAGTTTGTCTTTTGGGGTATTGGCTACTCCTGCCAGTTCGGTATCATCTGCATATTTGATGAGTTCCCCTTCAATTCCCTCATCTAAATCATTGATGAAGATATTGAAAAGTACTGGGCCTAAGATGGAACCTTGTGATACCCCACTGCTTATTTCTCTCCATGTGGATGTAGTGCCATTGAAGACTACTCATTGAGTACGGTTTGCCAGCTAGCTACAGACCCATCTGATGGTGAAGTTGTCTATTCCACCTTTTTCTAGCTTACCAAGGAGTAGGTTGTAGTCTACTTTATCAAATGCCTTACTGAAATCTGAGTATACCACGTCCACAGCATTTCACTGCTCTACTAGTTTAGTCACTTTATCAAAGAATGAAATAAAATTGATTTGGCGTGATCTGTTTTTAACAAACCTATGCTGGCTACTATAAGTTATCAATTAAAAATGTTTAAAGGAATTCCTTATGCACGCAGTTCTTTTACATTTATGAAACCTTAAGAATAAGAACAGAACATTCTAGAAAAGTCTAGAATGTTCCATTTCTGATCTCTGCCAGGATGAACCTTCTCGACTCTCTGTCATTGTGAGTTTCATTGGGAAGTTTCTGAAAGTAAATTGCTGATAAATCTCAAACATGCCATTCCAATTCCAAGCAGGTCCTAGGAATACCTCAAATAGTGTCCTGTTTAGAATATGTTTACCTACTGCCTTCCTGATCACATCATGGGATAATCTGGAGTAGGAATGAAATGTTCTATGCATCTCTACTGAACAAGGAGTAAATAAATAAGCTAGACAACTAATCTTCTGTTCTGTTTGGACCAAAGAACCAGGTAGCTCAAAGCATGCCAACCTTTGGGAGACTTGAAGACCTGGTCTTTCTTATGTACGGACAGTGTGCTGTGTGAACCTCTGATAACATATATTTGCAATATATTTATCCCCATCATAATATTTTTTTATTTATATGAAACATTGTTTTTAATTTTTTTTATAATGATATCTGCTTTTAAATCTTTAACTCAAAGTTGCTTAGTGAATGGACAACCATCAAAATCAAATAAGTAAATAACAGATAAAGACAAATTATGTCTTTATGTCTCCTTTCATTTTATCAGGATATAAAAACTTATCTATAATTTGATCTCATCTTTTTAAACCACCAATATTTTCTAATTCCCTCTTTTGTTGAAATGGTAATAAGCAAAGTTAAAAATCAAATTGACTTTGATCCAGATTTTGACATATTCAACCAATTAAATCCTTAACTTTGCTCCATGTATCAATAGGTCAGCCCAATAATACTAAACAGAATATAGTGTGATCTGTCTGGATAGGTCATCTTGTCACATTCAGGAACATCATTAATAACATGGAGGTGGCTTCATTAACAATAGCTACCCGGTTACTCTTTAATTCTTTTTCAAATGTACTTGGAGAAGTCACGACTTGAAATGGATATTACCCTACATAAAAGGTAGATTGTTTTCAATTATATAGAGCCTGATACATCAATGAGTCATTTTCAGTCTCTAATTTCTCTTCTGCATATCTTTCGCAGCCTTCGGCAAAAGAAAGGAAATCTGCCCCAGAGGCATTGGGCTGGATCATCTAATTTAGTAAAATGCAAGCCGTGCCCTCTGACGCATGCCAGCTCTGTTTGTGGTTCTGATGGACACACTTACACCACTAAGGTAACATCATATAATAATGAAAATGTGCATGGTGGTTCATCCATGAAAGTGCCATGAGAAATTCAAACTTACAGTATATGTCTGTAACTTTTTGTCCTGAGCTACTTGAATACCAGATCACTGAGTGAGGTCAGTGTTTCACACTATTTTTAATGTTTCTAGTGAAAACATTAAATTGGAAGGTTTTCTTTTTTAGGGCTTGCAAAGCTACAGATTTGATGCCACAAGAATAATAAGGATAAAAAGAAAGAAGAGTTGGCTGAATGTCCAAATTATATGAATCTTTAACTTGGTCTTGTGCAACATTTCATTTTCTTTCTGATTTATAGGTATGATACTGTACAGCATTCATATTGACCATATATATGCGTTGCTGTTGGAGATTTAAAATCTTGGAAATATAAATATAATCTGGCAGTGGAGAACATAGCCAACAGTCATTTGCCATTGTCCAATCACTCTCTGATAAGTGTACTGCTTTACCGGCATTTCCCCTGTCCATTCAGGGGGATAGGACCTATTAGGCCCCAAGCAACAAATGAACCATAATGGGTTCCATAAGAAGATTGAGATTTCTTATGGATCTGGTAGGTAGGTCAAGAGAGATCTTAGTCATCACTTGGATTGGGTTTGTGGCAAAGCCCTTGGCTTGAATATTCTAGGCATCTGGTAGATAAAATAATTCAGATTCCCTTAGAATTGGACTGTGATTAAGCAAATAGATTTGAGGTGCTGGAAGTCTTATGTGGTTACCTGGGGTGTGTTTTGAATGTGAAACTCCTTGGAAGAGGACATGATCCTCAGGACCGTTAACCTGACTGCCTGTTTGTTTGATCGTTGCCCTCTCGGTTTGTGAAGTTCTTTCAGGTGGTGTGTAATTGGTTCAGAATAACAAAATAACAGAGTTGGGAGGGACCTTGGAGGTCTTCTAGTCCAACTTCCTACTCAAGTAGGAAACCGTATACCATTTCAGACAAATGGTTATCCAGTCTCTTCTTTTAAAATCCCCAGTATTGGAGCACCCCCAACCTCTGGAGGCAAGTCGTTCCACTGATTAATTGTTCTGTCAGGAAATTTCTCCTTAGTTCTAGGTTCTCTCCTTGATTAGTTTCCATCTATTGCTTCTTGTCTTGCCTTCAGGTTCTATGCAGTAATATCAGTTTTTCAAAAGAATGGTCTGGTTCATTAGTGGTACACCTCTTCCTTATTCCTGGATCCATTAGTTCTGGACAACTCTAACCTTCCTTTTCTTGGGAGGGTTGTTAAGAAGACAGCTGGACTATAACTTCTGAAGGAAACAGATTATTCAGGCCTGTTTCAGTCTCATTTCATGTTACAATACAGTACAGAGATAGCATTGTGGTTGATAGTTTATGGATGACCTCTTGCAAAGCCAGAATGGAATGAGTGTTACTGTCCTGATAATCCCTGTTCTTTCAGTGGATTTTGATACTATCAATCATGGAAGCAGGAAGCAGATTGACCTGAGACCCCTGAATGGATGATGCAATACAGGGCTCCCTTTTCCTGTTTAATATCTACATGGTCTACATTATTTTTTCATTATGGTTTTAAATTTGTTTTTAATATTGTACACCAGCCAGAGTTGCTGTGGACTTGGGCAGTTTTACAAATATAATACATAAATAAAAATGTATGGAATTTTATAGTGAATATAACATTCAATGCTAGTGTACACTGTGTATCTGTTTTGAGTTATATTAGGGTTGCAGTTAGACATACAGCAAACAGCTAAGCAACTAAGGAATTTCCTATCTTCAGATTGCCCAGTAGATTATTTAAAAACAACAAAATTATTCATGCCTTAGGTATTGATTGAGCAAAAGAAAATCACTTTCTTAGTAATATGTAATTCATGCACTGGTATGTTACTTTCCAAGTGGAATTTTGGATTATCTCCTGTATTATCATTGGATTAATTATTCAATTAAGTAATATGTATGATCGTCCTGTTTACAAAGCTTTTCATTGTACACAATTCCTTACAATAATAATTTGGACTCCATAAAAATACATATTTAAAAGTGAAATGTGTAAGCTAAAGCAACACAGAATGCCTCCATAAACTACTTTCTCCCTATCTTTGAGTGTCAGCGGTTGTCTAAAAGATTAATTCCAGAACATATATCACACTGTAAGTCTCTGTGTGAACTCCAGTTTGGGAAATGAGCCATACCTAAGAGGTAAAACTTTTTGCTTGGCAAGCAAAAGTTTAATTCCCTGCTGTTTTTACTCCCACTCTGAAAACATCTAATACATGCCCCCTAAAAACTAATTCACCCAGAAGTGTCCACAGGGGAGAATCAAAACAGGCAAGTTGATGGTTGAAGCATGATTGAGGCTCTGCCTCTTTGTACCCATGTGTGACACAGAAACATGTGCAAAAGAAGTTATTTTCTGCTTTCTATATGGGATACCACAATCACCTTGCTACCTGCTTTGAGTCCCCACCTACTCATCCCTTGTAAATATTAGTGAATCTACTCTTTCTATTGAAGTAATAATATTGCACTCCTTGCCTTCTGTAACCCTCCAGAAAGTTGGGAGGCTGACTTTAAGGCTGTCAAGGGGCAAGAGTGGAGCAATTTTCTCTTGGTTAGAAACAAAAAATAAAGACCTGAATGAACAAGTATTCTGCACAATGATCATTTTAAAAATGGCTAAGCTATCTGAGCAGATTCAAATAAACCTTGATTTGGAGAACTAATTAACACATTTGGTGAACATGCAACACTGTTTTTACAACAATAGGGTATAATTTAACCAAGTAGTCAAATGTTAAGGAAAGAGGATAAATGGTTGGAGGATGGGAAGAAGACAGTGTATGTTCGTAAAAATATACAAATTCTATTGTGAATTATGTAGATTCTTTAATCAAAGACTCGATCATTTAATAAAAGGCGGGGTTATGAGGAACATTCTAATAAAAAAGTAGTTATTTCAGACATTTGTCAACAGCTTTCTTACCCCAAACTTTATTCTTTTATCTGCATTATTGGGCAATACAGTACCAATTTCAGGTTCAAAAAGCGCCATTAAAAAAATCACAGCTATACTGTGAAAGGCATATCAGTTTTGATTACTGTCATATAAATCATAATTGCCAAAGAAGTTGCAGGTATTTTTGCAATCCCACCAGCAAACCACAAAGAAAATAGAATGAAAAATGAATTTCTATTCTTCCTTAACTATCTCTCTTATCTTCAGAGCCAGTTAGTCCATAATCATATAAACAAGTTGAGATTGGCTTGATAAATCCAGAGCTTTTGTTACGCACTCAGGCAATCTGTTTCACAAGCTGAGTAGATCTTTACTGAACAGGCTGAATGTCAGATATTTCAGAAAGCCTTTTGATTATTTACTATAGGATTTAATTCCTTTTTTAAAATCCAGAATCAGTGATATTGTTTCTTCAGCTTAGTTTTGGATCTAGTAATCATTATAAACCATATATTAATTCATTTTCTTCTCCCATTTTGTATTTAGCACCTTAGTAACTGAGATAGGGAATGTTACCTAGCAAGGTGAAAATGTTGATAGAATAATTTATTTATTTATTTTATTTATTTATTGAATTTATATACTGCCCTATCTCCCTTACGGGACTCAGGGCGGTGAACAGGCGATAATAAAACCACGATAAATATATACAAGTTTCTGTTGTAAAATCAAATTAAATAACAGGCCTGTTCTAAAAGTACCCCATACAAAACCCCCACTAAAACATAATCAAACTACGCCAGGCCGGCCGCACGGAATAGATGGGCCTTCAGGGCTCGGCGAAAGAGGCGCAGGTCCGTAGTTGTACATAGGTCGGGGGGTAGGTCATTCCAGAGGGCAGGAGCTGCCACAGAGAAGGCTCTCCCCCTGGGGGTCGCCAGCCGGCATTGTCTGGCCGACGGCACCCTAAGGAGGCCCTCTCTGTGGGAGCGGACTGGTCGAGGGAGGTGTTTGGTAGGAGGCGGTCTTGCAAATACCTAGGTCCATTGCCACACTCGCGAAATTTCCAACAATGATTGTGGAACTAACACCTTTGTGTTCCAGTCGTAATGAGGATAACCGATATGTACAGATATCCGAGAAAGACTTGTCAAAAACGTTATAAAGGCAGAAGTTTCATTTACCCTGGTCGTTTACCTTTAAGATCAGACACGTACGAGAAAGACGGTGTTATATTCCGACCCCGAAGTACGACTGATATGTATAAACAGAGCTGAGTTTTCAGTATCTGTACATAATTCAGTTAATTTTATTTCAGTGATTTGTGATACCCATGAAAATTGTAAAGAAACTCTTGGTAAAATATTTGTTTTATTACCAGTGCTTGCAAAATGAAGCAAGGATAAATCTCTTTATTTTCCTTATTATTACCCTATATTACTGCCCATCTGTTAGCCAATTGTACTTTTTATTGCTGTAATTGTAATCAGACACAGAATTCTTACGTTGATACATGTTCTTTCTTCTGTGTCACAGCTGCAGTAATTTCTCTCAAAATTTGAATTCATTTTTTTGTCATTGTAATCAGTATGTAATGAGTAATAATCTCCTGATGGGTATCTCAACTACACAGTTAACATTTAAAAAAAAAATGGATCAAAAAAAGATTGTATGGTAAACTGAGTTCCTGTAGAGGTAGTTCTCAATTTATAACTGTTCATTTAGTGACAGTCTGAAGTTACAACAGTATTGAAAAAAGTGACATGACTGTTTTTCACACTTACTACTATTGTAGCATCCCTATGGACATGCGAACAAAATTTGGATGCTTGTCAACTGGCATGTACTTATGACAGTTGCACTCTCCCAAGTTCATGTGATGACCATTTGTAGACTTCCCAACTTCAGAGAAGTGAAATCAATTGGGAAAGCCAGATTTCCTTAACAACTGCATGATTCACTTAAACAGTTAACAACTGCAGTGGCCAAAAAAGATGGGGCAAGATAAAATGGGGCAAGACTCACTTAATAACTGTCTT